ACATGAGTATACAAAAGCTGGTGTCATGGTATGATGTCTGCCTGAATTGACAAGACAATTATGTGGAAAAATAGGTGAACACTGTAAATACCTTCTACAAATAAAGTGGTTTTGTTCTTCATTCTTGTTTTTTATTCTGGGTCGGTGGAGGTTTAAAAAAATAACCCTTATAAATAAATCTTGACTTGCTGGGAAACAAAGATGTTTGTGTATGGTTTAATCTCTGAATCTTGTCTTATTTCAGGGCCTGTATTAATAATGTTTTATGTATCTATGCAAAAATTGCTGCATTGCTTTATAGTTAGTTCCTCAAAGACAGACTTCAAACAAGCCATTATATTTCCATCATATCAGTGTTGTGTACTGAGATGTTTCTGGAAACAGTTTTAACTATATTATATCATAAAGAAATGGCCAATAAAAATATTGCAATTAAATATGGAATTTCATATAGTCTTAATAGAAAATTCATAAATATGAGAGATAGTAAAGTAGTCCAGTAAAAGTCAGTAAACTGGAAGTTTTATATTAAATGCTTATTAGTTAGTTCTGACTTTTAATTTTGACCATTGATTGTATGTATATGTTGTAATACATATTAAACAACTCAAGAACAGGTATATATTTTCTAAAAACACATTAGTACACCAAATCAATTAAACAAACACCAAAAATATTTAATATTAGCAGATGAGCCTGGCATTGCTTGGGCAAAAAGTACGATAGCAAAGATTATGATTATTAGATTATAGCAATCTTGTCCATTTTCACCAGGTGCCCCCTATCTCGAGGCTAATTAGAGAATTTTTGGATGAGTCTAAAAATTGTTCGATTTTTTGCAAAAAATGACATCTAAAATAGTACAGTAGAAGCAGAGTTCTTCAGTGTAAGCCTTAATCCCCTCCTTCAACCCATGGGAATTTTGAAAAATCCCTTCTTAAGATGCATCATGAGAACGTATACTAACTGTGTACCAAATTTTAACTTTCAACTCTTAACTGTCTGTATGCTTATTATTATTATCAATTCATCTTAATGTATTATAAGATAAAGAACATTTTCATCTGTATCTGTCGGGTTACATAAGCCTATTAAAGAACAGAATACCAAATCAAATACGGAACAAAAATTGAATTTTTAAATGGCTGAAGATCAGGCATGTGATCTATGCAGAGAATTTATATCATAAAAATAAGTGAAAAAACATTACATAATTAATAAGAATATCTTGATTAGTATACTCAAGAGCATATATGAAGTGATTTTACTATAGTTTGAACCATGCTCTCCATGCCATTGGCAGATTGTCTGATTCCGTGAAGTTGACAGCAGTTTGTAATATTTTACATCATTGATTAAATGCTAGATCTGTTATGTAATTATAAAATTTCGGAAAACAATACTTTAGTAAATTCAATATCTGTATGTTAAATTTATTAACGTGTCTAGTTTTATAAAATATTAATATATCCAGTGCTCCTTCTATAAAAAATTACCGCCAGTATGCATATGGTGAGTGAACATATGGTATTGTTTTTACTGAGCAACTGCTGATACTTTTTTATGCTATCTGTGGTTAAGCTGCCATCTTATGAATAATTATAAATACATTCATTTTTATTGTACTAAAAAACCCACAATCAATAACAATAAATTAATTTTAATTTGGAATGATCTGGAAGAAAATTAGCCTGGAGTGGAATTCAAGCTCACAGATCCTGCTTACTGTGTAGTTGCATTGCCAGTTATGCTAGCCAGACTGCTATCTGATCTTTGCTTCCAGAACTAGAAATTATTGTACTGGTCACTCATTAATTGTTCATGAGTTATTAATAGCTCTTGAAGATTAGATGGAAGCCTGGGTAATGTAGCTGGTGCTGTAACTGCACAGTAAGCAGGAGTTGAGAGTTTGCATCCTGCTCTGGGCTGATTATTCTAAATTAAAATAATAAATTAATTTATTATTAATTAAATTAGTTATTTATCGTGTGTGAGGTAGCAGTTTAACTGCTATCTCTACTCCAATAAAAATCTGTCAGATCATTTGGTATAAATATTTGTTACAAATTTTTATGTAATTACAGAAATTTATACCATGTCTTAAAATTTGAATAAATGTATTGTAGATGCTTAAAATATACTTTAGTTTGTAAATATTAGTATTGAATACACTGAGTAGACATATATATGTATAATTGCATATAAAACCACTCAATAAACATTACTAATTAAATGATGTAGCCAGATTCTTGTTAAGTTACAATATGGCTAGTTAATTAATAAGATGCCAAGTAATTTGGACTAGAGATAGGTAGTTAAGCTGCCATCTGTGTTAAATTCAATAGAAATACAGTAAATTGATTTAATTTAGAATATTCTGGAAGTGGAGTGGGAGTTAAACCCCCAACTTCTGCTCACTGTACAGATGCATTATTAGTTACACTACCCAGAATTATGCTTGATTTTTTTTGTTTCCAGACCAATAATTAATTTAGCTATAACAATACTGGTCACACTACACCAAATGGGAACAGCTATACACTCATGGTCCTCCATGGCATCCAGTCAACTTAAGCTTTTATCCCAGCTTGATGTATATACAATTTCATTAATAATATTTATTGGATTTGGTATTTTATCAAATAATATTAATTGGGTTCTTATTGAGCTACAGTGTGACTAATTAATTTATAAGATACCAGTTAGAGTAAGTGGCAAAGCTGCCGTATCATGTTAAATATAGATGCATATATATGTGGAGCTTATGATATTTTAATTTAAATTGATATTAATTTTTGAATTTTAATTATAGTGTAAGTAACATTAATATAAGTTTATCACTGAATTTTCAGTTTTTTTGGATGAGCCATCATCACACACAATAATAATTTATCAGCAAATCTCAAACCCATTAATTATAGACCTTCCATGTGTCTAAAGTATACCATGGACTGCTGGAAACTTTATCTTGGATTGATATGACACACTCATCTCTCTTACAAACTATAATTAAGTTAAACCAGGGATGCACAACCTTTTCTGAAGAAGGGCCAAATTAGGATTAAGTTTACTGACTGGGGGCCGGACCTCCAAGTGATTAATGCGATGGCTGAGATTGGATGCTGGTGGCAATCTTCTTGATGTCTAGCGTAATGGCAGATGTTGAAACAACCAGCAGATTTTCCAAATTCTCGTTGGTTAACCTGTTCCGTGTTTTGCACTTGTTTAAATTCATAAGTGAAAACGCTTGTTTGCATACATACCATGTTTCCCCGAAAATAAGACCTAGCAGAGGTTTTGCTGAATTGCTAAATATAAGGCCTCCCCC